ATATATATATATATATATATAGTTACTTTTTGCGCAACTTCAACCTTTTTCCAACTCAGATACATACACAACTTAATATGGATGGAGGCCCCTAACAAAAGAAAAGCAAGATAAATTCATTAGATCAGAATTATTTTTTTTCTTTACTTTTTAAAAAAAAGAATTTACTGCTTTTTTTATTTTAATAAACTTATGAGAATGAACAACTAGCAGAATAGTAGAAATTTACATTCTAATTAAGTTGACACCCAAACTACTTATCATACACCAAGTCGATCACTCTTTTTATTAAAATTAGTTAAGTTATGTGCTATGCACGTGGAGAATAACTTTATGAGGATCATACGTCAAAACACGTGCTCTTTTTAAAAACTAAGTCCATTAATTGGAGTAAAGAGGAAAAGTATTTTAATTAAAAGAAAGTATTCCAAAGAAACATATTATTAAAAAAATAACCTGTCAAAGAATATTAGGGAAAAAAACAAAAAAAAAATACAATAGGCAAAAGAAAAAAAAAAGAAGAAAAGCTAAAAATAAACGGTATAAGAGTGTTAAGCGAAAAAAATTGAAGTGAAAAGAAATAGAAAAAGAGGAAAAGGTAAAAATAAACTATATAGGAGTTTTAAGCAAAATAAAAACAAAAAAATAAAAAAAAACAAAAAAAGAAAACAAAAAAACAAAAAGAAACTAAAAGTGAAAAGAATGAGAAAAAAAAGTAAAAAACAAAACAAAAAGGAATAAAGGAGAAGTTGACAAATGGCCAAAGGAGAAGCAATTCTTTAGCTCTTTTATGATGGTTTAGATAGAACAAACAATACAAAAAGTGTCTAAAATGAAAACGAGAAATAAATCATTACAATCCAAAGGACAAAAAAAAAAAAAAAAAGCTAAAAAACATAATGCAGAAGCCCCATTCAATCAAAATTCGAATCACTATTCAAATTTTTTGTTACAATATTTTCTCTCATAAAAATTTAAATTCAACTTTTTTATAGTGTTTTCTCACATGGGCTCATTTTCTAATGGATAGAATCATAACCCACACCAAAAAGGTTTTTCTGCATTTGTTTCTTTTTTTTTTCCCTCTTTGTCTCCCCTTTTTTCTCCTCTCTCACAGTGATGGGATGGGGAGTCTTGGTGTAAATCATTCAGGGGTTGTTTAGTTAGGAGATTCGTACCCTAATTCGAATCATGGTTCATGATTTGCTACAGTATTTTTTCTCATAAAAAATACACTTAAATCGAAAATGGTTCTAATCTTATGATTCTAATCAATGAACCAAACGTCTCCTTAGTACAAAAGAAGTGAGCTTAATTGAAGTTGCAATTTGCTCCTTTTCTCAGTCAGAGTCTTGATGCATGGACCAACATTTATAGCATATTTTCTGTTCTATAATATGAGAAATTTTTGATAGGATATCCACAATTAGTACACTATTTTAAACTGTAAAAAATAATGAAGTTCAGTTTTTGGATACTCATTTCATTTTGATATATGATTTCAATCTAACCTAACATTCAAAATCTATCACTACTAATAGGGATGTTATACCATATAAAGCTCCTTTATAATAATTCTGAAAAGGACAATTATTTCTCAAAGAGATTTATGATAGGGTGTGCAAAAAATACCCAACAAATAGGGTAGGATTAATTCTAAGCCGTTAGATCTTCGTCAAGTTTGCAATAGGTCTATTCAAGTGTTCGGCTGCTCCTATATAATGCAGCCAAACTGGGCATGTTTTCCCCAATCCACAGCCTCTCTTACTAAAAAATAATTTTCTCTGGATTCCGAGAGAAACAATGGCTCAAATAGCAAAGATGGAGGTTCAATTGGACATCAAGTCCTCTGCTCAAAGCTTTTATGAAATCTTTCGCAGAAAACAGTACCTGATGCCTAAAATATGCCTCGACATTCTGAAGGATGTACAAGTAATTAAGGGTGATTGGGAGTCTCTGGGTTCAATCAAGCAATGGACTTATGTCGCAGGTATACGTTAATACATGTACATTCATACAAGAAGTACATGTTTATATGTGTGCATTCTGCATACACCGAACATTAATCCTCCATGATAAATTAGATACAGCTTTTAATCGTCATATCAACACCAGAATCATATAACTTAAAAGTATCTGATTTGATATGACGATTCAAAACTATATCCTACTGGTCAAACCACATCACAGAATTGAAGAAACTAGCTGGCTAGTTCGAAATGATGATATTTTTTGCAAAGTTATTCAAGAATCCGTCATTATTTACATTATCAGTACTCTTGCATATCATATCAGCTTCTTATTGTTAGTACTGAATCGATACACTATAGTTTAAGAGGCTAACTGTTTGACTTTGACATGTAAAAATGGTCGTACGTAGGAAATTCTGAGAGTGGTAAGGAGATAGTTGAAGCTATAGATGAGGAAAACAAGAAAATCACTTTCAAAGTATTGGATGGAGAGATCACCAAGTACTACAAGACGATGAAGACCACGGTTCAGGTTACAGCAAAGGGTGATAAAGGAGGCAGCTCGGTGAAATGGACTCTAGAGTATGAGAAGCTTAATGATAGTATCCCGGCACCGACTAAGTACCTGGACCTTTTGTCAGCTACTACTAAAAATGTCGAAGCTTATCTGACCAATAATGCATAAGTACTACTACTTTGTTTAATATAAATAGATAAGGAAAGGAAGCTCTAATAGTTATAAATGCTTCCTTTGGGGAATAATATTGTGTTTAAGTTTCTAAAGCAGTAACGGAAAATATTGGCCTTGATTTTCTTAAGCCGTAGTGGAAAACATTTGCCGTGTTTGAAATTAATCTCGTTTTTTGATAAGAAGAGAAATGAAAACGTTTTCAAAACGGCGTTTGACGCAATAAAGACAAAAAACAGAAATGAAAATGATTTTTTAGTTTAGTATAAAATGAGAGAGAAATGAAAAATGACTTTTAGTCGTTTTTTATTTTTTATTTTTATTTTCTCCTATCTCGAGCAGAGAGAGAGAGAGAGCGACATGTTTGCGGAAAAAAAAATATGTACATTGGATGATGAATCACAAATGGGCCTTAAAAAGTGAGATAAGGAAATAAAACTTTGTGCAGACCCAACTTTGAGCTGGCCCAAAAAAAATAATAATAAAAAAAAAAAGAAGGGGGGATTAAAAATGCTCGTTTTAAAACGTGAAGTGATGGTAAAAAAGTACATAACGTGACAAAAATGGGTGCAGAATGTGGAGTGTAAAACAAAAAAAAAGGGAGATGGTGCAGGAATGTAGAACCTGAAATAATGGCCAAAACTGTTACAAAATTTTCTTATATAAAGAAAGAAGCGAAAAAAATGAGAGTTTTTTTTTTTGAATACATCAAAAAGCGTGTGTGAAGGCGTGTCCAGAAAAGTGAGAAAAAGCAAAAAAAAGAGCAAAAAAAAAAAAAACATGTGTGCAGTGAAGTGAAAGAAAGAGAGAGATGTGTGTGCAGAAAAGTGAAAGAAAGAAAAAAAAATATAGAAAGGTGTTGTGTTGTGGGAAAACGTGAGAAGAAAGAAAGGAAAAAAAAGGGTGCGCAGGTGTGTGTGCAGAGAAGTGAGAGAAAAAATATACATCCGTGATATTTTAAAACAACAAGGTAAATATATGTTTTGATATTTTAGTCCTTTTTTACACTAACAGTTTTAGTTTTCTGTGTTACAGTGCATTTAAATCAAATCCTATATACACTTTAAAGTGTGGGATTGTGATTTACTCCTTGACACTCTCTACGAAGATAAATCTTATATACGCTTTATGGTGTGAGATTTTTTATTTGTAATGCTCTTAATAAATTCCTAATGCACTCATGGTGTGTCGTCTCTCGTTCTTATCACAATCCTATGATTATCACTAAGACTTAGATTTCTCTTTAGAGATCAATATAAGTTAAATGTGATTTCAAAAAAATTAAGGATTAAAAGTTTCTCAAATTATTTGTTACGATTGTTTTGAGTGCAATTCGAGTGAAAAATTCATACGAATTACACTTTAAGGATCGGCATATGAAAAATTATGTGCATACGATCTATATAAAAATATTCATATGAATCGCACTATACCCGTCAAGAAGTAATCAAACAATGAAGATTTAAATTAAAAAAAAAAAGGAGAGCAAGCAACCTTCACAAAAGTTTACCTACGTGCTTGCTGTGACGCTTGCGACGATGTTTGCAGGGAAGAAACTAAAATGGTTCATGTGCTTGCTGTGACATATATATATATCAAACGGTTTGGATATGATGAAATTTAAAATTTTAAAAAAGGGGATAAGGGATAAAGGATAAATTTCAAAGAAATTCGGAAAATTAAATACCAAAAAATTCAAAGTGCACAAATTGAGCCCCTTTACTGTCCCTTAGTTCAAAAAGATGAGCTCATTATCTCATAAAACCATATGGTGATTAAATACAATTTTCAAATCTCAAATTCAAAAAAAAAAAAAAATCTCTCAACACCAAATTCAAAAAGGGTCCTTCTAATTCCCAATAAGGTCATATACCGGGGAATTATCCAAATATAATTTTCAAATCCAAATTTTAAAGTAAAATTCCAAATCGAATTTTAAAATATCTTTGAATTCCTCCTATGGTCATATATCGGGGAATTCTCTAAAATCTAAATTCAAATTCAAGAACTACAATTGACTTGATTCCCTATCGGATACGTAAGCAACCTAAAATTTAGGTGCAGTTTCAAGACCAAATTCAATCCTAAAAATCCTCATAAAAGACTAAATCAAATTTCAAAGTGCGTAAATTCCTCATAAGGTCATACACCGAGGAATTATCTAAAATTTTCAAACCCAAAATTTGAACTACAAGTGGCTTGATCCCTCAACGGGGTATGTAGGCAACTCGACAAAATTCATTAAGTTCAAGAACAATTTTAAATCAACCCAAATTTACCAAATTCACAAAAAATAGAATTTACTGTTTTAATTGGAATCAAAAGTCTTCCCTCGTACCAAGGGATTGTAATTAAGAGGTTATTCATATAATCTTGAATGGATCGAACTAAAAATAATAAACTCCTATATTAATTAAATCCTAGTATAAGTAAAATTATGTTGTGTGTGAAATATTATTTTAACATTAATAAATATTCTTACTCAACACGACATTAATGGGTTTTTTTATATTGAAAATAATCTCTTAATAAAACTATCAAACGCATTTTTAAAAATGATTTTTATCTGAGATTGAAAACGTTTTCATTTTCATTTTCATACAAAAAACAAAATCATTTTGGAACAAGTTCCAAATGATTTATGTCTGAGATTAAAAACGTTTTCATTTTCATTTTCATACAAAAAATAAAATTATTTTAAAATGAATTCTAAACGCACCCATTGTGTTTGATTTTCTTAAGTAATGGATGATATTGTGTTTAATATTCTCAAGTGAAAGGAAAGTATGCAGTCTGTGTTTGATTTTAAAAAGAAGTGGATGATACTGTGTTTGAATTTCTTGAGTGCTCCTGTACTGTGTGATGTGAGATTTATTTATTTATTTATTTTACGCAAATAATCATATATCATATATTACAAAAAAATAAAAAAAAAATAAAAAAAAATTGAAGAAAATCAAAATGATCTAATATCTTGTGAAAAGGTAGTCAAAGTAGGCACCGACTTGTACAAAAGAGGAGAGGAGAAAGTTTTGGGGTAAGATTATATAGCTAATCCAGGCTATTCAAGATGAAACAAAATCTCGAAACAAATCCAAGATGTGTAACACAGGTCACATATGAATATGTCTAAGCTCTGACTACTTCCAACTTCCTTATGAAAAAGCTCGTCTAAGTTCTATTTCTTTCAAAAACAAAACTTACTACTCTTCCGCTAAAAGGTCATATCTGATTGTAATTAAAGCTAATCCCAAATTTCTTAACCAACTGAATGCTTACTTGCGAAGTTCCTCTACGGCTCCAAAGCTTCTCAATATTTTGCTAGCCTCTTCCGCACCAGAATCACGCTCAAGATTCCTTGCCTCCAATTTTCAGCTTCATCACTTCTTAATAGGTCTACCAATCCGATCTGTTGCTATAATAGGAGTATACAAGGTATCTGCTCATTTTCCAGAGAATTGTGATCCACGGAAGTTTAGGCGACTTTTAATATATATTGGCTAGCTGTTTTCGATATATAATCGTCACATGTGCATGGATGATAATGATAAACCCTGTAACGAAGAGCACGAAGGTGGCAGTATGTTCTTTGCTGACAACAGCAATTCAACCACATCTTCTATCTGAGGTCTCAACATGAAAACTTCATCAGCTAAATCTTTTTTTATCTGATCTTCCATTTTCCTGCAGAAGTTTAATTTTTTGGCCATCAAAACATTGCCGGAAAAGAGAAATGGGAAAACACTGTAAATGGACATTGAACGGACTTGAGATAAACCTAATAACAAACATTGCAGAAAAACACAAAGCACCAAGCAAACACTTGGACGTATAAGAACGAAAACATTTTGAATTATTGTTTACACTACAGATAGACAAATTCAGATAAACAATAAAGAGGAAAGAAATCAGGCACAGAACAAATTAACTTTATCACCGGACCTTATTTCAGATTCTTTCTCACTGCTGCTTTCTGTAAATAGCACCTTGATAACAGGATGTAGATCTAGCTTTGGAGCCGCTTCTCCACTGCTCCGTGTGCTCAAACAATAATTAGTACAGGACCACGAGTTTGTGTTTACAATAACAATTTGCAACACAGGAACTTTGGTTATAAGATCTCTAACCACAGTTCGATATGATAATTCATCTTTTGCAAAATCGAGTAGCTGATTTGAAAACATTCTTTCCAAAGTGTACTTCCTGTATACAGGAGGAAACAGTCTCAATCTCAAATCAACAGTCATCGCATCTGTACAGAACAACAAACTCCAATATAAAAAAACAGATAGGAAAATGGTATCCCTCGAATGTGGTAACTAAGAACGACGATTTTGAATTTTTTTTTCCCCCTTTTCTCTCACGAGCTATTTCTTCACAAAATCACCTGGAAAATATAGAAGAATCATGAAAAAGAGAAAAAGTGCATTTTTCTTTTCTTACACACACTAACCTAAATAAATCTTCTGATCCACCAACAGGCAAGCTAGTGGAAATATAGCATTTAAAGAGTCTGACTCCACCATCTACAGGTGCAAAACCATTACCGCAAGGATATGCTCCAAGAAGAGTTGAACAGTGGGGACATAAATATTCAACCCACTCAACATCCGCTGAAAGATTAGAGGATTTAACCATAAAAATGTTTCCAAGAAACCCATTAAGAAAGGTTTTTTGATTTTCCAATATCTCCATACTTTGACCAAGCTTTTGGTTCTCTGTATGAGTTTCAGACACATGATGTGCGCAACACCCCTTTGCTAAATCGTCCTTCCCAGACGAATCCGATTGTAATCGCAAATTATATAATCTGTCAATGTTACTTTCTTCTTCAGGAACTACGCACACAACATCTGCACCAACTTCCTCATCCTCAAGTTTTCCGAAACTCGATTTCTCATTACAAGGATTTGAGTTCAGTGTAGATTCACCAAACTCAGGCTCACAACTCAAATCTGGTCCAGTTTTGTGACTTTGGCCTTTGCTCAAATCGGAGAAATTGCATTCAACGAGATCATCCTTACAAACAGTAATAGTTGCAAAGCTCAAGAGGCACACACCCTTTGAACATGTATAGGAATTTGCAAAACGAGTGACCAACTTCTCACTTATGCCGCCAAATGAACAGCAGCAAGCTCCAAACCAGTTGTCAGCCACTTCTCGCCAGTTGACTGACGGCATTTCCGCAAAATTTCTATGCATGTCGATGAAAGTTACAAACCAAAACCCACATATGAATTGGAATTAGTAGTTTCTAGTTTGAATGCGATTTACCAAAAATTTTCAGTTGAAATTTGGGTAACCAAAGGAGAAACAAACCTGAGAGGACTTCTTGTCAAGTTAAATTTGCAGTTTTTGCAGTAAAAACTAACTGCTCCACAAGATATAAGACTCTTTATATCTGAACCAAATTGTAACCACACAAGAAAAAGAAAAATGTTCACATTGAATATGTGATAAGAGAGAGAGAACAATAGCCAATAAATATGTCAAAGCAAAATACTGTCTTAGACTGAAAACTTAACCAGAGTCACATGTTTCAACTTTCCGGCTAAGAATTAAAAATGGCAGAATGAGCAGATTTTCAGCATTATATCTTAGTTCCTCATCTTAATCAAAGTACCAATTGACCACTTCTTATACGTTTAAACAAATAACGAATTTTGCACAAGAATTTCCTCATTTGTGGAAGACGTGAGATTTTTAAATCTCCTACAATAAAAATCTATTCTTTAGTTCTAAAAAGATTAAAAGTAGTTAACGGCATTGCCTTCCCCCTTCTTCCTAACAAAATTTCTCAACTTATCTAAACAGGAACGAAACAGAGTGAATAGCTCAAAAACTCACCAGAATCTACAGAAAGCGACTTCGACGAATTCGAGACTGCAGTTTCTGCGTCACCAGACGAATTGAAAATCGAATCCAAGTTGGAAACGAGAGAATGACCAACGGGGAGAAGAAGGATGAGCTTGACCTCAATGTGATCGTCAAAAGCTCTGAAATTGACCGGAGATTCAGAGTCGACCAAAACTCTAGGAATCGGAACCCTAAGCGAGGTTTTGGCGACGTCGTCGGACCAGGAGACGAGAACCAGTGACTGCGAGAGATTGACATGGACTTGGAGATTCCGGCATTGAAGGGAGGGATTGGTGCGAGAATCGAAGAGGAAGAGCCTGAGAGTAGGGATGTGAGATTGGGCTTCCCATGTGAACCGCCATTTTTGGAGATTTTCCATTGCGCGAAGCTCCGAGGATATTCTTCTACTTCCTGTTTTTTTTTTTTTGCATTTTTGCATTTTTCTTCATTACATATTTATATTACATTTTCACCCCCTGCATTTTAAGTTCCTTGCAAATTACACCACCATTTTATTTTATTGTTAAAAATGTTTTGCTAAAAGTTTTTGCAAATTCATTGAGACTGTGAAATAATGTGTATATATATATATAATGCGGAGTCGTCTACAGTCCCCCACTTTTAAATTGGGGAGCTGTCCCCATAATATATAATATATAAGCCATCAATTTTGAAGTTTAATTAGTTTTTTTATATATATAATTAGTTTTTTCTTTCAATTCTCTTGACTTTAATTTCTTCTTCTTTTTTTTTTTTGCTGATCAAATTTTCGTCACATTAATTAGAATTGCTTCATTAATTTTAACATGATATTATGACTTGTTAAATTTTTTTAAAAAAAATTTAAAATGTTTGTGAATATTTTTTGTCAATTTTAAATTCTTAATTAATATTTCTCAGCATTTAGATAAATTAGAAATATGATACTAATTTCTTTCTTTTTTATTCTTCTTACTTAATTTGAAACAATTGTAAACTTTGATTTTTTTTTTTTTCTAATGGTTTTGCCAATCATATATGTATAGTGCTACTACACTAAATATAAAGTAGCATTAATAATGCAAATACGAACTAGATCATAATATGGCCACATGGGGGAAAACAAAGAAAAAAGGACCACTTTAAGAAACTGAGGAAGCTACAGTCAACTCTCTCTACTAATAAAAATTCTATTCAAATTAACAACAAGTATCCACGCACTTAGGTTCAATAATCAATTTCAACGGTTGGCCTGAGGGAGTACTGCCATCACCAAACAGCACAAATTTTATGTATCCATGTTATGCTCGTGCTTGCTAGATGATGTTTTGATGCAAAAATTTATAAAGCACAACAAAATGAATTTTTCTATTGACTTAGATCCTTTTTTTTTTTTTTTTTTTGGGGACATTTGGGCTCATATTTCCATACAATATTAATATATCTGTTTATTGGTTTCCATCTAGATTTTATGTGCTGCCAGCTTTAGAGCTAAGAAAACCATAGTTCAGATTGTTGGAAGTAGAATTGAGAAACTTGAGGTTTTATAAGGAAAAAACCCATTAACCTCGATATAAATTTAAGATTCTAAATTTTAAAGAATATTCATAATAATCAAAGAGAAATAATTCTCTTGTTGTGGTCAATGGATTCCTAACAAAGTTTTATTTTGCCGTTACTTTATCATAAAAATAATCAGATTTAAGTCGCGTCGAACCGTTTAAAATATGTGGGCGTCTTTCTATCATTAACTACAAAGTTTTTGAAGGAAGTGAGAACTAAAGGAGAAAACTTATTAAAGAATATTGGCGTCAAGATTCGAAGAAAGAAGTAAAGATTCAAAAGAAAAAGAACCTAACAATTAGCTCTTTTTTTATATATATGTTCTCTATCTCCACCAAAGAATTCTTTGATTCTTACTCAGTGTAGATCCTCTCCATTAGAGAAATAAAAAAAAATCAAGAGATTTTAAAACTAAGGAAAAACATTTAAGATTTTTTTCTAAAGTTGCTCCGTGACTGGTTTTCTATAATCCTGTTTGAAATGTAATAAATTTTTTCAGTTAGATTTTTTAACATCCGATTAATTTTGGGTAGAAAGCATCCTGAGGGGTTTTTTTTTTTTTTTCGTTTTTCAATGAAAAAATACAAATATGATTTGATTGGTAGAACGGTAATTGTGCATAACTGTTTAGAAATCACCACAACTTATATGGTAGCTCTGTTTTTGTCTAAAATTTTTTGTTAATATTTCATTTTTCAACAGCACCAATATTGTTTTGAAGATAGGAGAACAAGGCGTTATAAAGGACATAATTTTTGTAATTTTGTACTTAATCACAAGTCAAACTATTAAATGATCTATACCACGACTTTAATTATTTCGAATAAATACATCAAACTATTCAAGGAAATTTCATAAATTGACAAGTCTTTGATTTACAAATTAATCTACTCTGTTAAGTTATCACAACTACGCTTCATGTGCTTTACCGCTTATACGTCCTAATTTTTTTATGTTGAGTCCAACCGTATAAGGTGGCGTAAATTACAACAAACGAATGAAACAGACTATTGTTACTGCTAAAAAACGACAACAAAAATGCTTATATCAACACTATTCTTTTACTGTGCATAAACGACCATGAGTTTTGCAAAAAGAAGGGTAAGATTTCGATTACTTTTCTATTCATCCTCGTTACGCTGCTCTTCTTAGGCCGCCTAAGTTAGGCGTTACTATTTCTAAACTATTCTCTTTTTTTTTTCTGCTACTAACTTCCATAGGAAACTCGTATTTGCTTTGGTAAGTATGAGGTTATGTTACGTAGGGAACACTTCTTTGCCTTTTTTTCTCTTTTTTTTTTTTTTTTTTCTTTAACAAACTGCTGATTTTAAAGTGTTGTTTAACTCATAGGTTCAAACTAAAAAAGTTTGAAATAAAATTTAAATTTTTATAAAAAAAAATACTGTAACAAAACGATTTAAATCATGATTTGAATCTTGAGCTTCACAACCATTACCGTTGGTTATGATGATTAGTATTAGCTAGCATGAGAGAGAGAGAGAGCATCACCACCATACCGCCATGAAAAATGTTGGGCAAGAAGACGTGTGAACACAGATACAATATCAGAGAGACATGCATTGATTCCTAAGCATTAGTACCCTTTTTCTTTCACATAATTTAGTGACATGTTACAATCTTCTTACATGTTAGAAGCAAGAGAGGAGAAGCTGATATAGTACACACATGAACAAAGATTACAAACCTAAATAATCTTCTTTTTTTTTCCTAAAAGAGAGAGAAAAACAAACCCATCAACCACTTTGACCGCCATTTCCCTTTCTTTTTGACAGTCACTGTATAAGGAGCTTTTACCATATAATCAAATCTCTGATCCACCATTGAAATCCAAGCTGTGAAGTTCAGATGAATGTTTTTTTCTCTTCTTTTTTTTTTCTTCCCCTTGATTTTTTGAATTGTAAAATCTGCACCAACCTGCATAATCAAACAAATACATCATCACGTCGCTTCTTTGGGTTTCCATCGGGATTTCCTTTTCTCATCATAGCCACAAATTCATCATAGTTGATACGCCCATCCTGCAGATTTTCAGGAAAAATACTAATTAGATTTGAAAAAACCAAATTTGGGTTGACCAAATGGGTTGCTTTTAGTTCATGAAAACGATCCAATTTAATCTTCTTAAAACAAATCACAAAGTATTCCTTGCTTTACTTACATTATCAGCATCAACTTCAGAGATGATTTCCTTTATGTCCCTGCCATCGTGCATGCCGAATTCGCGGAGAGCTTGCTCTAGTTCTTCAGTCGTTATGAACCTAAAGTTATGGCATTCTCACAAGATGTAAGTGAACTTTCAGTTTTGAGCATGAATATCATTCAAGCATAGCAAATTCCTAAAGTAATCATCTAAATATTTGTACTATAGAGTCACCCAAAGCAAATCTGATTAATCTTTCGTTTAGTTCGCGGATTCAAGTTTTTAATTTGAGTTGAGATGTGATTTTATGTAAGAGCTTTTCACTGTAAAAGAAAAAGTTTGATGTGACTTTTTGTGAGAGCTTTTAACAGTAGCAAAACTGGAATTAAAAACCCGAGTTGGTGAAATTAACGAGACCTTAAAGAAAATTAATCGATGAATTTGAGTATACGATAATATGACTTTAATCTAGTCCATACCCGCTATTATCTTTGTCAAAATGTTGGAAGGCAGTGTAGAGATGTTCTTCTCTGTCCATTCGGTTCATGTGCATCGTTGCCGTGATGAACTCGTCGTAGTCTATTGTCCCGTTGCCGTCAGCATCAGCCTAATTTTGTCGACCAAGTAAATACAACATCAAAAAAACAAAATCACTAGTTAAACAAAAGTTTGTACTTATTTGTGTAGTTAGGAAGAGAGCTGGGGAGGCAATGAAATTTACAGCTTCCATTAATTGTTTAACTTCGAGTTCAGAAAGCCTTGTTCCTTGCTTGGCTAGTCCTTGTTTCAGCTCTTCAAGCGTTATAGTCCCGCTGTTGTCGGTGTCCATTGCCTCAAACATCTGTTTCAATCCCATGATTTCTTCTTCTGATAGACATCCCGCAATAACCTGTGCGACATATTTAGGACAGAACTAGACTTTCAGACACAATCAACCCAAGAAAATCAAATTCTAGCTAGATATCAAAGATATAATGTGATGATTTTACGTGTATGTACTCAAATTGAATGGAAACATTTTATGCTTTGCATTAAGAATTATGTGGTTTGGTTGTAAAATAGAAGAATAAATCGTATGTTAATAGCTTGTATGTACACTTGAAAATGAGAAAAAAATAATAATAATAAATAAGAATAAAAAAAAGTAATGTGATGGATTACCCGTAGAGCAACTTTCTTGAACTGATTCATAGCTTTGAACTGTTTGAGCCTATTCAATACAGCATTGTCAAGAGGTGTATCTGGTGCTTCACCATCCTCCTTAATCCATGGATGATCTGACACAAAGCAGAGTTATGCATGTAATAATCTATCAAGTATTAAAATGTTTAAACTAAAAAAATGTGAAATATTGTTGTACAAAATTGTGATTTCTTTTTCAGTGAATTCAAAATTAAGAGAAGACTAATTTTTTGTGACAAAAATGTTTGGGGGGCTCCGCTAGTCCCAGCATCGGCATCGAATAACGCAAGTGTGGGACGGAATTGGAGGCACGGAGTTGGAGCTCGCGGAGCCTCTTAGCTCTACTCTTTCTGTGACTTTCGTCATGTGTTTTAGCCACTAATGTTAGGGGGAACAAGAAAAATGTGTCTTACTTAGAACTTGGAAAGCTGCCAATCTTTGTTTGGGGTCTGAATTCAACATCTTCCTGACAAGATCCTTTGCTCCGGGAGAAATTGAGGGCCATGGATCACTTGTGAAATCAACATGGCCGCGTAAGATTGCATTGAATATCCCATGCTCCGATTCTGCCATATCCAAATTTTGCCTTCTTTACTAATTAATAAATAAAAATATTTTCACTCATGATAATTAATTAAGCTGCTATAGGGAATTGAGTTTGACAGAAGGAATAGGTATTTAAAAAAAGGTAATAAGAAAATAAAAAAGTATTATTCACCTGCCCAAAAAGGAGGAACACCAGATAGAAGAATATACAACATAACACCAACACTCCATATATCCACTTCTGGTCCATATCTCCTCTTCAACACTTCTGGGGCAATGTAATACGCGCTTCCAACGATGTCCTTAAATACTTCCCCTGCCATTATAATAATAAATTTATTATTTGCTATAATTGTTGTTTCCACCAAAAAATAAAAAAATTAAAAAAAAAATCATCGTCATAAAGAAACTATAACTGGGAATTTATAAGCGTTCTCATTCAACTTTGTAATCAATACATAATTAAATATCAGAAACCAGAAGTCAACAAATTAAGGTGTTATGTTCTCAAAACAGAGCCAATTGAGTTATATTATTCTATTTTCTAAAATTTAGATTCTTTGAAATCATTTGCTTGAACTTTCCGACAAAACCCAATTCCCAAATTTCTAAAATGAGTTCGTAAACATGATGCAAAGGAACAAAAGAACAAGATATTTCAAACCTTGCTTGTAGAACACGGAAAGACCGAAATCGGTAGCCTTGAGGGGCGAATCCTCATTCTTGTTGAGCAAGAGGAAGTTCTCAGGCTTGAGATCTCTATGAATGACTCCCATGGAATGGCAAGTGTGCACAATCTGCACAATTGTCCTCAGCAGCGACGCGGCGGCGCGCTCAGTATAGTGGCCCTTGGCGATGATCCGGTCGAAGAGCTCACCTCCGGCGCAAAGCTCCATAACCAAATGGACCGAATGCTTATCCTCATAAGCCCCCTTGAGCTCCACAATATTAGGCTGTCCCGTCAAGTGGTGCATTATCTGAACCTCCCTCCTAACATCCTCAATATCCTCCTTATTCACAAGCTTCCTTTTCGCAATTGTCTTGCAAGCGAATTGCTCTCCGGTGACCTTGTGAGTGCACAAATGCGTCACCCCAAACTGCCCTCTTCCGAGCTCCTTACCGATATTATACGTCGACCGGACGTCCTCCATGGGGCGGCCTAAGACCGTGCCGATTGGGGCGGGCTTAGATGGCTTCGAGGAAGCCCCGGTGGCGGCGGAGGAAGGCGAGGGTGTGGCGGGCTTAGCCGGGGCCTTGGCCTTGGCGTGTCCATTATGAACATTGGCTGAATTGCTTTCTTGAGATGAATGGTGGTCTCTTTTGATGGTTTCCGGGTGACCCTCGTTGGTACAAATATGAGAGCAACAATTGCCCATTTCAGAAGAAAAGAAAAAGAAAATAAGAAACTGGGTATTGAAGTAATGGCAAATTGGGTTCTGGGTTTTGAAGAAAGGGTTGTAACAGAGAGAAACAAAAAAAAACAAACAAACAAGAACAGAGTTAGAGAGAGAAAGAGAGAGAGAGAGAGAGAGAGAGAAAGAGAGAGAGAGAGAGAGAGAGAGAGAGAGAGAGAGAGAGAGAGAGAGAGAGAGAGAGACAGAGGTGGCGAAAGATAGACTACAGCTTGGATTGGCGTAGGGTGTTAGAGAGAAAGATTGATAATGAGGGATTATAGGGAGGAAGGGAAGTTTGGTAGGCTTGAATTGTAAAACAATGTTGTTGAAAGAGTCTTGGGAGGCTTGTTAGCTATGTGGGACGCTCGTAAGTTTGGTTTAGAGGATTTTACGGGAAACACATTATTACTGGTTTTTTTTATTTTTGTTTATTTTTTATTTTTTATTTTATTTGTGGAGTTGGTTAAACATGTTTTTGCTAAAGTCAGAGAGATTGACGAGCTAGGATGTCTGCTGTGGTGAGTTGTGCATGGTCAATTATAAGCCTACTTGCTCTGGCATGGAGTCATGGTGAAGCTCTATAATCTTTCAGTTTATTTTTCCTTTTCGGAGAATTTTATGGTAAAGTTTCAAAAAAAAAAATCTTTAATAGGAAAATAACATCATATAAGAATCATGGCGTATTAAGGAAAATGATAATTCCAATAAAAATAACAATTTAGTTTACCGTTTACATATATATATATATATAGATATTTGAAAAAATCGGTTTAATATTGTGTCTTCTTAACTGAGCATGATTGATTAATATATATATATATATATATATATGGTGAATGTTGATAAAAAATTCGGAATTGGGAGGATGAAAAGAATAGAGAAAGCAGAAAGAGGGTTTGAGGCGTATAGGAATACTTTCCTTTAAGGTTTTATTTGCCCTCACTTCTCAAAGTTTGCTAATGAGTTTTAAATGGCAAATTACCCCCAAGATAACCCTTGAACATAATATCCAGCAAAAAATATTGAGTTCCAGAATAATATATTAATCCGTATTTTCTGAAGTCCATCATATAAAGACAGGGATGCATCCATCCTCTTTAAGTGTTACAACCTTTCACATAAAGATACCTTTTTAATTAGATGGTTATCTTTTATATGTTGATGCACTTATATCAATAGTTATTTCTATTGTTAATAAGTGCTCAGATATGTGAGAAAATATATCACAAATAGATGCAATGGTTCGAGACCTTTTCAGATCACTAAAACACACGAACACATTTTCCGTCGACAATTTGCGCTGCAGCGCCCAAGAGGCGCACTGCAGCGCGCGGGCTTAGCAAAACAGACCCGAGAGGTCTGTTTTACGCAGGCTGCAGTGCACGCTGCTGTGCGCTGCATCGCGCGGACCTAGCAAAAACAGACCCGAGAGGTCTGTTTTGCGCAGGATGCAGCGCCCAAGTGCGCTGCAGCGCGTGCTTGCTTCAGCCCTTGCTTCAGCCCACACTTCCCGAATGTGTTTTAATCCAATTTTGTGATATCAAGATTGAGAGATATATTACAATCTCTCTAATAGTGAATGTACAATGTGGATTTGGAAACTAAAAAGGAGATAAATTACAAGCAGAAATGACCACATGATTTTGTGGGAATGAAAATAAAGACTCGAGAAATAATGGATGCATGTTTGGTTCTTGCTAGGAAAATAAAGGAAACAAATATGAGATTTTTGAGGGAGATCTTTTCTTTTCTTTTTAATAATTTGGAAACATGTGGGAAAAAAAATAGAGATGCAAGGAGGCTCCATAAAGGGCCAAACGCACGTGATCACACACAGCAATACATGGTCAATTAGTGCCAAAGCCATGCAAAGTCAATAATAATTAAAAAATAATTAAAGCACTGGTCCACACGTTTTGGGGGCTTATTTTTACATAATCAAAGATAATTTTGTTCATAATCATCCAGCTATAATTAAGTTTCTAAAGATATTGAAAGTATCAAGACTAACCAAAGAGTAGGACAGAAGTAATAACTAGAGTACCAACATTTCTGGACCAAGTCATTTACCGATACCAAAATAAATGAGTGTATTTGGAATTATTTTCGAAAACGTTTTCATACGACTTTTGAGGCACGAAAATAAAAACGGTCTAAAAATTGTATTTATTTAATAAAAGTTTTAAAAACAAAAACAAAAACAAAAAACAATGAGAATGATTTTTGGAATAAAGTAGAAAACGATTGAAAGTTGTTTTCCTTTTCTGTTTTCATTTTCTAGTACTTATTAACAAAGTTATATTAAATAATTAATTATTAACTCTAATTATATCATATATTAATTAATAATTAATAAATAGATATACTTAATAACTAATAAATAGATCATAATTACTTAATTATTAATTAAATATTAATATTAATTAGTAAATAGTTGGTAAATAAAAAATAAATAGTAATTACTCAATTAATAATTAAGATTAAATTATAATTATCAATATGTAATATAATAATCAATAATAATTAATAATTGATAATTAGCAATTAATCATTATAAAAAGAATAATTACCAAAATTTGATCATGTGATATATCATATAATAGATTATTAAATAAACATTAATAATTAATTAACTAATTATTTAATTATGTAACTAAAAGTTAATAATTTAAGTAGTGAACGGAATATTAATAAATTATGTATATACTAATTATTTTTCTTAATACACTACTTAATTACTTATAATCTAATAAATATGAGTACATTACTCAGATAGTAATTACTTATAATTAATTACTAATTACTAGTTTTAAATTATTTAGCATATTAATTTATTATATATATAGTTTAATTGCTAATGTACTCATTAATGATAATTTATTCATTATTATTAGATTATTAATATATTAATTTTTATTAGCTAAATAATTATCAATTATTAATTACTTAATATATTAATTTAAGATTATTAATTACATGTACTCAAAGCAAACATAAATGTAACCAAACACGATTTTATTTTTTATCATACTCAAACTAATCTCTTAAAAGACCACAAACGTAATTTCAAAATCGGTTCTAAAATAATTTTTAAAACAATCTCATTTTTATTTTTGTACCAAAAGTAAAACCATTTTAAAAATATTACCAAACGAGCCCGATATTTTCTAAAATGGTTGATACTGCATTTAATGCCTAAAACATGGAATTTAGCCAAAAAGTGACACTCATCACGGCTAGGTGTTGTCGAGTTCGATTTCTCACATGGTGAGCGTTGCTCTCTCTAATGGATATTGGTCAACTTCTTCTGGTTCATTATCCTATTATATCCATTTTTAATTTATAACAAGTATTAGTGAGGTGTGGGGAAGTTACACACTTTTTTTTTTAAGATAAATTTTTATTTTTCTTTGGAAAAAAGATGTGATTTTATTAAGCTTAATCAGTACGAATAAACGGAGCTACAAAGCACGGAATAACATCTGGTTGAACCAAATCTAACTCAAGAGTGGTATACATAGGAGGCTAGCATATGAGCAACCCTAGAAACATGACTGCACTTCCAATTTGGAACACTAAGTGGTAATCTAATGATCTCCTCCACAAAACCCCCCTCTTCAGCTAGGGAAAAACCTTTGGAAATAGCTTGTACCACCCTTAAAGCATCAAGCTCCGCTATGTTGATCGTCAGGCCACACGATCTCGCAAACAAGGGATCCTCCCGTAGGGCCAGGCATTCGGCTATAAAGGTGGTATACGAGCCTGCCGACCCCGTCCTGCAACTGTATAAAACAAAGGGTTTTTTTTTTTTTTTTTTGATATACACAAACAGAGAAACGCACGTGGGAGATATGGGTTCAATATGTTTCCTCCTCCTAAAGATCCTTGCGGTTGATCCGCGTATGGGAGATATAAAACATGGTTAAGTAAAAATTTGTTTACGCTTAATCACCAAAAAAAACAAAAACAAAAACAAAAAAAAAGTAAAAATTTGTTTGGATATTTTGATAGTGATGTGGGGCTCCCTGTAGGGACCTGATGTACAAGAATCAAAACATGAGGTTCGGGCTGCCTTCAATAAGTCATGACTTGTCTTTTTGCTTGGTTAGGTAATAGCTTGTATCTGGTGAGTTAATGAAGTAGTTGGAATTTGCAAGATCATTTTTATTTTTTTTTGCTTTCCTTTGATAGATCCAAATTATGGTAGCCTATCAAAAATAATAATAATAAATCCAAGTAAAAACAAGAGACGTGACGAGGAATAATTCAGGGTATATGGACGGTTGACTTGTGACGAACATTGCTGACGTATGACTGTAGTTCTTCTGTCCAACGAAGCCAAGTTTCCCCCTTTTTTTTTTTTGGTTCTTTTTTTCAGTTCCCTAATATTTCTGAGACACCCTTTTTTGTTTTTTTTTTTTTTGCTGGAAGTATTTCTAGGTTCCTTATTTTTTCTAGTTTCCAAATTTCTATCTTACAAGTTGCTCAATTTGTCTTATTTGCTTTTTTTCTTAATGTCTATAAGACACTCAAGTCGTCATTGTAATAAGTTTTTCTAAACCCAAATAATAATAATAATAATTGTGTTATTCATACTTATTTTTAGTTTATCAAAACTTTTAGAGAAAATAACTTAACTTACCCTTAGAATGCATGGGTTAGATTACTCTTAATTAATACTTTTTTGACTAATATAATTATTTAACTCAAAAAAAAATAATAAAGAATAAGAGATAAATTCTAGACTCATACACTCTAAAATTATTTGTCTCATTTTTCCAAATTTTTATTCCGCCGCAACAATTGCACTTCTAGAAAGTCTAGACTGGAATTAGCTGGTCATATCTGTAGAGGCTTTCATTTTGAGAGTCAAATGGGATCATGTTGAAATTTGGACGGTTGGGGTCTTTAGCTTCGTGTCTCCACTTTTGAAAATTAAAAGTGCCATTTGGATTTTGGCTTTAGTTTATCACTAACACGTTTAACATAACTTTCACTAGAAATTGGGGGGGAAAAGGAACTTACTAGGAAGACATAAAACTCATTTCTGTGATTAATACGATATTTTTAACCCCAACATTATCACTCAACTGATCTATTAAATGTTAATTCTCCATAGAATTATTGGCAAAGGGGGGCAAATAATGAGATTGGAAATCTACTTTGTACAAAGGAACAGACAATGAGACGCATCAAACTGTAGAGAGTATCAGGAGTAGTAAAGGCAAACTGAGCTGATGGGAGATATCAGTACGTTGGAATTGTCTGATCAGCCTTTAGAGCATATGCATGAATTCCTCCAGCTACGTTGTATACTTTCCTAAATCCCTGAAAAATTGAAAATAGATTAATTAAGAAAACATTAAAAAAAATAACAAACAAATGAAGGTAGGAAACAATCCTCGTCCCACCAAGAGAGAGAGAGAGAGAGAGAGAGAGAGAGACAAACAAATGAAGGTAGGAAACAATCCTCGTCCCACCAAGAGAGAGAGAGAGAGAGAGAGAGACGGAAAAACAACGCTAAGTAGCCTGATTGGGCTTAGAAATTTATAGAACAAAAAAAAAGGAAATAAGAAGTAACTTTTTCATGTACAATGTTAAATTACATAACCAATAATGTTCTCGTCATTATCGAACATTTTTGTAGGTTTAATAAATGAAACATTTTATCTGCTTTTCTGGCCACACACACACACACACAAAAGGGGGCGCCCGGTATGCGGGCTACACAATGAGACATCTCAGTCCCACAATCCCATAAGCCGTAGCCTCCCAAAACAGTAAAAGATTAGCAACCATAGATATATTCTTTTCTCCAACATAGTTTCAGTTATAATAATTGAATTAAAAAAAGGTATTCTACCTGCGTCTGCAACCACTTGGCAACCTGTAATGACCGCATACCATGGTGACACTGCACTTTCAAATCAAAAATTGTTACTGGTCTAGAAAGGATATAATGCAAGCAACGATTATTATCATTTATGAGAACATGCAATCACTCTTTTACCCAAAAACACAATGAAAAAGAAGGATGCAAAGCAAGTGATAATTGCTCGAGTGTGATTCAAGGAAATGGGACAAGTACATATCAGCAGGGAGGATTTTTTCTTTCTACGTACATTCTATAGTAAAGCATAGTATGTCAAGGAGGAAATAGAACAACAAGGTAATCCCAGAATCACACTCGAGGATGATAGACAATTCAAAACCTAAGAAATAACGATTCTACAATCACTAGAGGATAATAGGAAACTAATTAATATTTCATTTCAAATTCTGCAATAACTAATGTATATTACTACATTAATGGATGTTACATTTCCAGATAAATAGAGACAAAACTAATCCTTTACCTATGACTAAGAGGCAATCAGTTTCGCACACTGCTGTGCGAAACTCTTTTTTTTTTAACTTTCTACTCCTTTCTTTCTTTCTTTTTTGTAACTTCCGTAACTGCCCACACCCCCACCCCCACCCCCACCCCCCCTTCTTTCTTTTTCTTGTTTGCCCTTTTTATATTCATAGCTCTTTTGCCCTATTATACATTTTTCTTTTCTTTTTTTTTGTCTTCCAACTTTTTTTTTTAATTCTTATCTTTTTTGTCCTATTATATATATATATATTATTTTTCTTATTTCTCCAAATGAGACCATAATAAATATGTTTTTTTATTTTTACCTCCAGAATCTAGGGCACCTACGCACACGATTCCAACTAGTCCCCTTTCCAAAAGAGAAAAATCTAACATTGGGTGAATTACATATCAAACTACTTGTTTAAGATAGTAAAATACAACCGGGGAAAAAGGAGCAGACTGTAAGCTGTAACAATCGTTTTAATATCCCCCACTCCTAGGTCGCCACACGAATAGGTGAGATTCTTAAAGCATAACACCAAACTTTGAGGATCTAATTTTGAAAAACTATTACACACTTCAGCCAATCATGAATAGAGAAACAAATAAGTACAGAAGAGCACTATCATTTACAAATTTCATTTAAAGAATTTACACACAAAAACACTTGTTGAAGTTACCAGAACATAAGTATCCTTCTGAGGGTCAAACTTAGTAGATATCTCAGGTCCCCAGGTTCCAAATTGTCGAAGGGGAAGAACCTCAAAACCTGGCAAAGAAGCTTGAGCCCTGTTAAACAGAAGTGAGCAATGCAGTTAAGGAATTGACACATTGCAAACCATGAGCCAAGAAAAGAAGGAAAAACTAGGAAAGAAATGCACCACTGAAACAAAAGAAAATTTAAGTTCAGTATTGGGTCAAACAAATTGTTCTTCGTCTTTTTTTCATAAACGCTTTGATAAGTTTGTGAAACAATATATCTTCATAACTTGAGCAGAAAAACTAACAAAATGAATTTCAGGTTGCTAAGAACAGAAAAGAAATGTGAGAGCATACACTTCATCAGGTTCTCGGACATCAATCAATTGAGCCTCGTCTATGAAACTGGGATCTTGTATTCTAGCATGAAGCTCTTCAGGTTGAATGTCTTTTAGTAATGATTCTTCCCTTACCAGACAAGGTGTGAAAAGCGATCAGTACACAATGAATCTAGAAGTTTGTTCATTATTTCCTACATTCACTAACACATGAGTTTTGTAAAAATACCTCTCCGAAAGGACTTGCAACAAATGCCATCCAAATTTAGTTTTACATCTAACAACCTTGTTCAAAGGAGCACTAAATGCAGCCTCCTCAAACTCAGGCACCTGAGACATTTCACCATCAGAGGTGTGTCAAAGACATAAGTGATAGAGACAAATAATCTAGCTAAAATTGAAGACTCAACTTTGCCTATTAGATCATTTACTCATTGCAAAAGTCCAATGTCAAGGTACCATGTTACGCGCATTCCTTGTATGCAACCGGAAATTATTAGTTAAAAAGAAGTATTTCAAAACAGAACATATCAACCAACTTATATTCAACTAGAACACATACCATACAGCAATGGTCAAGTTTCAATTCATAGAACATCAAACTATTGACAAATCTTTTAAGAACTTTAAACAGGCAAGAAAGTGATATTGATATCCAATAGACACGAGGATCTGTCCCTAATATTAGGAAATTTTACCAAAACATGTATATATCTGTGTTTCAGCATACCATTTGTCCCTTCCTCACCCACCCAAGCATTCCACCTTCTTCTTTGGACGGGCAAAGTGAATATTCAACAGCAAGATCACTCAGGTCTTCGCCTGTACGTAATGAATAACATTAAAACCAAATATCCGCAACAAGAACACCGTACCCTTAGAAATCACAACAAAATTTTAATCAGGTCAAAGAATATTCCATTCTATTTTTATGGGACCATATTTGATGTTTGATCTGCTTAGATTTCAAAATCCATGGAAACTAACCTCCTGAAATTCTCTGCTGAAGATCTAAAAGAAGCTTAACGTCGTCTTCTTTAACAAGTAGATGCTGCACCAGTATTTCCCTTCCACCACCAGAGCCACTTTCAGCACTAAACGAAGCTGAGAAAATTTAATTTTAAAACAACTCATACAGAAGACAACCGTGAATTCTAACAAAACTTTAGCAGCCATCAAATTGAATAGCAGCCAAAAAGGAAATAAAGCATTACCGAATATCATCCAATCTCACAATTTCAAGCAGTACGATCAGAAATTAATCCATTTATCTTTAAGTTGCCCTAAAAAAATCTGAACCGGACACTGAAAAGAAATTGAGAGCCATAATAATGCAAATGCAAAAATAATTTATTTTTCTTTAGTGTCATTCTTTTGATTAGCCGTGCACGAAAATGAACTAAATTAGTAACAGTTGAATCAGGATCGAAGTTAAACCTAACAATGAAACAGAGTTTCTCTCTCCAAACACAAACAGTACTTTCCTTTTAACCATTTGTTGGATTGAAATTCATGAAATTGAGCCATATAAGAAGCCATAAAAAGCAAAATAGATAAGGGGTAGAAACGAATTCGCGGCATACCTGATGCATTGGGAGACGCCATGGGAATTAGGCGCTTGAAGCCGAAAGGGAAGGGACGAGGTAGAGATGGTTCAAGGGTTTTGGGGAGAAAAGTGAGAGATGGTGAAGAATATGGGGAGATTTTGTGAAGGTTTGAAGGTGGAAAAAAGTGATTGGTAGAGGAAATTAGGGAGAATCTGAGTACAGAAATAGCTGGAGTTGCCAATGGCGGAAGATGCGAAGCCCTTAACATTGTGTTCCTGATTTTGAAGCTCAGAGAGCGAGGGAGAGAGTCGGAATGAGAGAGAGAGAGAGAGAGATAAGTGTCAAACTACAAGTTATGTATGTAAAACGATCAATGGCCCATTTTGCTGTCGTCTAGTTCTATTAATTGGAGTTGGATGTTCTTTATGGACTTTATTGTCCTAAAAAATTTGCTGCTCTATATCTCGACCCAGTGACCCGTTACTCTTAGGCTCTGTTCACTTCGCTGATTCGAGTTTAGAATTTAAATTTTTCTACAGTAAAAAACTCTCACAAATAATCACATCTAACTTTTTTGCTACAATAAAAAGCTCTCACATAAAATCACATTTTAACTCGAATTCTAAACTCGAATCAGCGAAGTGAACGGGGTCGACTCTTTTAACCCATTTACCTGCAGGAGTGGAAAGGAAAAAATCAACTTTAAACGGATTCGAGTTGTAAATGGGTTATAATTTAACCCGCCACAAGTCGCAGTACAGAGACAAGTTTAAAAGTTCCGATCATATTTTTCGTTTACGTTTTACCCGTTTCATTTAATAATATCATTTTTAAACTGAATTTACTATGTATAAGTAGTTTTAAGTATAACATATTAAATAATATACATATAGAAATATAAAACTACCTTTCCTTTTTATTTTATTTTAATATTTTGGATAATTATAAAAATTATTTATTTATCTATTTATTTTACAATAAAAATAATTAATTGGGTAATGCGTGTACTCCGAATCCGTGACGGAAATATGCCCTCCATACTCCGCCAATTTATGTGGATTAATAGAGCATGCATGGTGAGTGTTTTTATTCATAGAGTGGGTTGGTGAGAAGAGTACGCCTAGACAAACTGCCATTTATATCCTAAAATAACTTGTCGTATGTGCTTTAAGAAAAAACAAAAAAAAAAAAATAGAAAAAAGGTCCCCGTGTTGGTAACAAAGATTTGTAATTTCTAAAAGGGGAGGTTTACAAATTATACTAATTCCTACCAAAGTTTCCATATATAAAAAGACCAACGACTCCATACTTAAAACACTCACCAATATACTACAAACAACATTTACTTGGGACATAAACCACAAACAAAAATCCCACCTTCCAACCGTATAGCTAGCTAGTCTTTTTCGTCCTCTTTAATACCTTCACACACAGTTTGTGCATAACGATGATAATACCAAAAAGATCAAAAGCAGTGAGTACTGAGTACTAATCAGCAGCGTTATATCCCAGAAGATCAGTTATTCGATGAAATCTTGACAAAATTGCCGGTAAAATCTCTCGTAAGGTTCAAGTGCCCAATGATTCTTATTTCATGACCACCCACCTTGATCGCCAGTGTTACAAGAACCCCCAAAAACCTCGCTCATTCTCGCAAATAAAACTCTCGAAGACTACAAATTGGTTTTGCTCCTCAATGAATCAAGGTTAATAGATGTAGACAGTGGCGGAGCCAGTCTTTTCACTTTAATGGGGGCGTATATTAAATTTTTTTAATAAATTATTTTAGTAGAAGCATATAAAAAATATATTTATTTTAATGGGAGCATATATTATTTCAGTGAGAAATTAAGTGTAAAATTTTAAAATTTTTAAAGGTAATATATTTTTCAAAAAAATTTGAGTGGGGGCGGCTGCCCCCGCTCATCTTCAAGTGGCTCCACCACTGGATGTAGACATGTCGTGCATAACCAAAAATCTGTGGGAACTAAGTGTGGCAATGGCTGTCGTGGTCAGATCTTGTGGCGGTTCGGTCCGCACTAAAGTAATTTAAATTCAACAGGTCGAGATATATCACCAGTGGCAGTGAATGCAGCCTTGCATTGGCCGCTAGCCACCTCACGGTGTTTCATCGATTCATCACCTTTTTGTCGTGTTGTTTAATTTTGTTAGGTAAGTGACTCAAATTAACTTTGAGAAAGTTACTATTTTGCATTTTTGTATAAGTTACTGTTTTTAGTTTTTGAGTAAGAGTTATTTTATGACTTATTAAGAATATATAAATAAGTGTTTTGTATAAGACTTTATGTGCTGAGAGAAAAGTGTGGTCATAGAATAGTGTAGAGAAATAGGCTCTTTTTTGAGAGAGAGAGAGAGAGAGAAGTGAGGAGAAAGATAGGCAATGACGCGTAAGGGGTTTTTGGTAGAGAGATAATGAGAGAAAGTTATATGAGTGTAATTCTAAAACTGCTAGTGAATTTTTTCTCACTCTTCTGTGGACATAGAAAATTTTTCCGAACAACTTAAATATTTATCTTCTCTATTTTTTTGTCATTTTGTTTCAGTTTATTCTTTTATTGTGTGGGTGTAAGGGTGCATTTTTCTCAAAAAATTTAGACGAAAAGGAATTGTAAGTGAAAGATGCACCGATCAAACATGATGGAGAGCGTTACCAGTTACCATCACATTAGACTTATTTAAGTGGAAGGAATCACTTGCCGTACCAACATTTGCAACCGAATAGTGAATGTTGTTAGTTTTAGACATTGAAGAACAGTGAGCATATGCTGACCTATAATCATATGTTGTTTAGTTCTAGTCTGAGTCTGACTTAATATTTGCATTCCATGAAAATTATTCTCTAATTTTACAAATTCTACATATTGTAGAATGACTTCTTATTGCGACAGGTATGGGAATTATTTCTTATATATCGCTAGCTAGCACTGTTTGACATCGTCAATAAACCTAGAAATATAAATACATTGATTTTGAACTAAGGGCACGACATATTAATTATATTTGTACACTACCTGGCTGTTAACTGTAACTAAAATTAGCTAGCAGTTTTCGAAAAAGTGAAATCCACCTCTATGACTTAGTATTGTTGTCATTTTACCGGAAAGAGTTGGAAAGTAATTGTTAAATCTAATTGCTACTTAAATATTTCACATTTAATAATTTATTCTTATTTTAATTTTGACAAATGAACATGTCAATATAATGGTTAATGAATGTATTGTTTTTAACTAATCAAATCATATTCTCAAAATAACAATGTTAATGCTCAAATTCTTTATACACTTCAACTATGAATTATGTACTAATATAAGTTAATCAAATGAAAAGAGCTACAAAAATAAGTGAGAAAAAAAATAAACAAAAAAGTAAGAAAAATGATAATCAATTAAAAAAAAGGAGCAAGGATTCAAGATTCTTGAATATATTTATTGCACTTTAACAATTTTAGAGGTATTGATTAGATTTTTACTTTTTAGGGGGCTTTGTCTAATTTACTATATATATATATATATATATGTTATTTATATTTTTAATTTAATAAATAATAAAATATTTTATGTTGAGTTAAAATAGTGAGTATGATTGAAGTGACTCACTTAAAAATTACTAGTTAAAATAATTTTCTAGCTATTTTAACTATAGTTTGACTAAAGTTTAGGGAGTTTCCTTGGAAGGCTCAGGCAACCTAATAAACTTCTAAAAACATACATAAATATACATGAAAAGTAGAGTTTCTCTATTTAATGTTATACTTTGTATTTCGAGTCCACTAAAAAGATCATATTTTGTATTTTGAATTGTATCACATTTATACCTAAGTTGTGAATTTATGAACAATTCTCACCTTTTTCTCGATTTTGATTCTAAAAAAGATGTAAATGCCCTTATAGAAAAATAATAAAGAATAAGAAAATATTAAGAAAAAATCAAAATTCCAAATATGAACGACGTCTAGGACTTTCTCATAGTCAAATTAAAACTTTGCCAAAAGAAAGTAAGAATTGAACAAGATTTAAAAATGTGAAGGTATAAATGTGATACAGTTGAAAATATAAGATACAAATGTTTATCGAAATGAAAAAAAAAAAAAAAAAAAAAAACAAAAAAAAAAAAAGTAAAAATAAAAAAAAAAAAAAAAAAAAAAAAAAAAAACACTAAAAAAATATGTATACACACATACACAAAAGTGGTTCTTTCTCTTTCATGGTGTCTCATGCGTAAAAATGCAAAGGAATCGGGGGATCACTTGGTTCTCCGTTGTTTTGACTCACCTATATAGACTTTCCCTATCAAGCATAAAACCTTCAACGAAAGAAAATATTGGAAAACAACTAGAAAATATTACTTTTCTTAGACCTCTTTTGCCATAGATCTTACATTTTTTTTTCGTTATTCAAATCGAATTAAAGTTTGCCCTGATTGTACCTTTAGTAGATGGTTTAAACAAGGGTCAAGTAAAAATTTTGAAAGCAGCCATTCATGTAAAACAACAAACAGACCAAATCCCAGTAAGATCACAAAGTTGCAAATTATTATGATGAAACTCGGCGAATACTTATGAATTCCCGAAGAAGAAAAAGGAGAGAAATTTTAGCTTGCGCATCAAATTACCAAGTCATGGAAAATACATAAGAAGTTTTAATACCCTATTTCCCCTTCAAAAATGAGATTCAAGGTGAAGTAAAATATATATCTTTTAAATTACTGATGTAACTTATCAGATCAAACTAACAATTTTAAACCACTACTAGATTAAAAAAACTGGAAAAAATCAATTGAATCTTTATCATACTCGAGCATCAGCAACAAAATGAACAGAATCAATGCAACATTTGTGACAACCTCAAGATTCTCAACAAGTAGTATATCATTTCTGCCAAAACTGCTTTAAAAACTAACCGATGCAGATAATTAACTCTAAAACAAGAGCAAAAGAGTAAAAAAAAAAAAAAAACGCGAAAGAAAAGAAAAGAAAACTTGGAAGAAGGAGGAGGATCAGAATAGCAAACCCAACTCAGATCGTGACGAGGTCGTTTGGAGGTCAAACCAGATTTGCAGAAGCAAACGGAAAAAAAAAAAGTCAAAGCAGATGAAGTCACAAAGCAGAACTCTTTGGGAGCTTTCTCCTTCAACAGCTGAAGATTCTAAATCTGAGAAGAGGGGATTGAAGATTGAGAAATGAACTAACTATACAGAACGTTTACTTTTTTGCTGTCGTTGACCCATGTTAGTCATTATCAGGAAAAAAAAAAGTATATTAATGCAGAAAATAAATTCAACAAGTTGGGACTGGATTTCTGAAAAATAAAAAAAAAAAAAAAAAAAAAACTGATATCCCATATTCCAGAAATTCAATTCAACAATAGAGAATAAAACAAGTACAGTCAAATCAAGCAACAAAACATATAAAGATCAGCAACCGCAAACAAAAACTGCTTTAAAGGAATACAGGAAAATTTTTATCTCTCTTTATATTAGGAAGTAAGAACTAAGAAGGCTCTTATGTAATGGGCTTGGGCCTTAGGAAGACTTCACCAAGGCAATCCAAGGACGATCGTTGACCCTAAAGAACCAGGCCCGGACAGTGTCACCTTTCACGAGCCCATTTCTCTCAACAAGTCCATGCCAGTTATTGATCAAAACGTAAGAACTGGTGCTGGTGAAGTCCCTCTTCTTCAATGTCATTGTCGTTTCTTCCAGACAGGGTTCAACCAAACCCACAACGACGCCGTCGTTTGGCTTGCGGCCTTGTTCATTTGTTCCGCTCAGAATAGTCTTCTCCTTTTGGTTGAGAAAATCATCAGAGAGAATCTGTTTCAACGGCATTGAAAGCCGATTCTGGGCCTTTTTCACATCGGTGTCGTACAGTTCCTTCTCAATAATAAGCTTCACGTCGTAACCACGCTTCTCTCGAATCAGATCCCTCAGCTCTTTGGGCATGTCCGGTGCATAATTTGGTTTCGAGATATAAGCTTTTCCTTGTCCTTCATGAATATCTATCATCATACGACGTCGCTTTTTGCCAAGTAGTACAATACTTTTATCAATAATAACATTGATCCCAATTTTCTCGGCCTTCCTTGTCCTTTTTTTGTTGGGAAAATTTAGAGGGTGTGTGGATTTCAGGTCCTTCATCAAGTCCAGATATTTGACCTTCAGATATTCGTCGGCAAGGCGCTTCGAGCATACCTCAGCTAAGGTGTCGAGTTTGATGCTCTTTGATCTATCCATAATACGTAGAAGTTGGTCCGACGAGCACTGCTCCAAGTGGGAAAAAAAAAAACAACAACAAGGATTCTCAGAAGAGATCAGTTAAGTACAAGAATTAATTAGGTTGTTAATTTATAATTCTCGGGGAAACTGAGAATGGAGAAGAAACCTCAGAGAGAAACGCAGATAGATGTGTTCAAATTCCTAGATGAAAATATACACTCGCACGCACATATATACATATATATGTATTACATGTGTGTGTGTGTGATATTTACGCATGTATGTCTAATCAAAACAATATAGGAGTATAAAAGCAAAAATTCAGGTTAAATTCAGGTTAAATTCAGGTTTTCTTGTATTTTGTTTTTCAGATTCTTACATGGAGGGAATGCTCTCAAAGAGAAGCTGTCTTCAGGATCAGAAAACGCCCGAGTGTATGTAGACTTCTATTTCATACTTTCAAGACAAGACCCAACTTGGGGCTTTAGGTTAACAGAAAGGAAAAGACAATGATTTGAGCAGAATAACAAAACTACTGAAGCCTGCTCTCTGCGACTGAGGCTACCGAAGTTGTCTTTACGAGGAAGCAAATATAAAGATGAAAACCCTCAAAGACTTGGCGACATGTTAAGTGATGTATGTTAAGTGATGTGGGCCCTACGAAGAAGTCCAACCGCAGCTTATCTCAAATGCAATTTCAAAGATAGATTCTTCGGAAGGTTCTTTTTTTTAATATAAAATTAAAAAAAATCATTTTTGTTTTAATAAAAATAATAGTAGTTGATATTTTTGGGTGTGAATAGGTTTTATTGGAATAAAAAAGAATATACTTGCACGAAATTGAAAAGGTATCAAGCATGAAGAGACTTTTGGTGAAATGTTCTTGAGAAATGAAGTTGGCCATGGTCAGAAGTACCTTTGAAATAAAAAAGAGGACCCACTAACATGAGATAAATGAGTTGTAGGGCTTCAGTTGTATTTTTGAATTATGATGACTTGAGTGTAGATTTTGAATTAAATTTGAGTTATAACTTGAGTTGAAATTATAATTTGAGTTTGTGTTTAACTGTGTACATTTGAGTTATGGTTTGAGATGAGAATCTTTTTGAGTTTGTATTTGGGTGTGTCAAAACTTGAGTTTGTATTTAAATAGAATTTTAATAAAAACTCAATTATGATGGAAAATTTTAATAGGATATATGGATGGAGTTTTATTCGTCTCTTCGTTATAAACGCATAAAAAAAAAAGAATCATCTCAATTAGAATTAAAACAAAAAAATTATAACGTTTTTAAAAATAGAAAAAAAAAACTGTTCATTAACTTAAGTTTGAATTTAGGAACTTGAGTTGAAGAGAAAACTTGAACTCAAATTTTAACTCTAAACTCAAATTAAAATTTAAGATCAAACTCAAATTTTATAAAAAAATATAAATTTAAATAAAATTATAACTTGAATTTAAATTTTTTTTGAGTTTTGGTCCAATAGGTTATTGACAAAAAAAATTGGAGATCACGTCAGGTCGAGTACACCGATATTGCATGGAACAGAGTACTAGTAGATATTGGGATTCGGCTGAATTTAACAGTATTTATAGTACGTATCCATCTGGGGCTATAGTTCATACCAGGTTGTTTTCAAAAAGAAAAAAAAAAGGAGTAATTGTAGTAAATATTAGTTCTTTAATTTTTTTATGTAAATAACATATTTTAAAATATTTGGAGTAAATAGTATTCTTATGAATGAATATTTATTTATTAAGCATAAATAATTTATGTATTCTAGGTAAATAAATTGCTTATTAGTAAATATATTATTCACTACAGTCATTTTAAAAAGTAGTTGTTGCTTCCAAAAACATTTTAAAAATATGCATGTTATTTTGCCTCTTTATCCCAATTTTTAGTTACTCAATCGGACGAGGACAATAGGCGGTATATAACAAGTTCACCTCGACCTCCACAGTCTCCTCAATTTTTATATATAGAGGTGTGTTTATGATGAAAATTCGTCAACAGAATAATAACGAATTTTTAAACTATTTGTGTGAAATTAATGATCTAAAACACAATTAAAAGTAATAAAACAGTAAGAACACATGAGAATTATTGTGGTTCACCGTTGGTTTGAGAGCAACGTCCACTGTGGGGATGAGGGAAAATTTACTATTTCTGAGCAAAATCCACACTCTAATTCTCCAAATGAGACTTTGAGATTTTTTGACCTACAATCCCTTATTTATATCCTTGATCACCGTCCCTGCTTGTTTCTCTACTTAATTCGGGGATATTTTTCTCATCTTTTGAGATAGTTTTCTAAAAAATAGAGATTATAATCAATCAGGATGATTTCTTTATTCAAATTTTATATATTCGAATTACAAATAGCGAATCCCGGAGCTCATCTCACGAATCTCCCGTCTTTGTAGCATCGACTTCATAAACGCTCCCAGAACTATCTTCGCCTACGATTGCAGGTACGGTCAACCTCATGTCGTCCTCTGTCATTTCATAACAATCGACCTCATTTGTATGTTTGACACCTTTTTTTAGCGGTCTACTCCTAAGAGAGTTGCCCGCTGACATGCTAGCTAGGGCTGAAATATCATTGATCATTTAATGCTCTTATTTATGACATGTGGGCCCCAGGCAATGTTTAATTTAAGATTCGGCATTTTATCCTACAACATTTGCCCCGCTTGTTGACGCATTCCTCTGGACTACTTTAAGCTTTGACCAAGTAGGGTTTACGCCTTAACTCTCTTCCCCTAAGTTTGCTTGCTTGCAAAGGATTCCAGCCCTAAGCCTCTCTAGGCAATGATGGCTTTGATGCAAAAGATGCTTCTTGAGCAGGGGAACAGTCCCATCGATCAAATCAATTTGTCAGACTTCACTTCTTGTTCTGCATGGATGAATATGTGTCATGGATCACATCTTTTTTAGTTCCCTGCCTATTCCTTTGTCATTAGACCATGATTCTTTGTCTCCATCGCAAGATGAACGGTTATTTAATCCAACGGTCTAGAGTCGAGGCTTCAATTATTTATAAA